CCCCGTCTCGCCCCCCACTTCTCCCCAAAGCTGTTTTCCGGCTCCCAGGGCGCTTTGGCCCGCCGCGCTGCTCCGCTGTTCCCTGGCACCGGCTCCGTCTCTCCCCCACTGGCTGCCAGTCTGTCATCCCATCTTTGTCGCTCTCCCGGGTCCTCTACGCCCCCCCCAGCCCCACCCCCAACCGCACTGACGGAGCAGCTGCCAGAGGGTGGGGGCTGCGCCCTGGACCAGAAAGCTGGGGGTGGGGGTGCTGCTTCTCTGTGCCCCGTGGGCCTGAGTAGACTGCCCTTCACCCACGGAGGACACTGTTCACGACCCACCCGCTGTTTCCCCGGGGTCTCCAGTTCCATCTAAAGCTGCCCTGCGGCCTCACCTGCAGCCCCACTGCGCTGCCCCCAGGGAGGCTGCCCAGGAGCTGGAGACCATCTCATGGCACTGGCTGGGCCCCGGGGACGGGTGTGGAACCCTGGCCCCGTGGCTCCTTCTGGGCCCTGTTGCTGTGGACTAAAGGGGTTGGCAGGTGACCTAGAGGGTCATTAGGGCCGAGAAGTGTGGTGGGAAGCACAGGGCCCCCCGGCTGCGTGGTCTGGGGCAAGCTGCGGTGCCTGCCTCTCTGAGCCTCGGCTTCCCCGTGTGCCCCAAGGGGTTAACAGCACCTTCTTCAGAGGGCTCCTGTGAAGTTCCGAGACAGCGCCCCGAAGCCCCTGAGCGAGGGTCAAACTTTCCCCGCTATGACCTTGGGCAGAGTCCCTGTCCTCTGCCAGCCTCAGCTTCTTCGCTGAACCAGAACCGGCAGCCTCCCCTTCTCCCCGGGGAATCGTGAGGTTTGCAGGCACGTGGACTCCAGGTCTGCGGTTCCAGTTTGAGGACAGGACGGCCACGGAGTCCACGGTTCCAGTTTGAGGACAGGACGGCCACCCCAGCCGTGACTGTGCACAGACAAAAGACCCGCCTGAGGGGGAACCAGAAATGAGATTCTGAGTGCTGGGGCCGGAGGCGGATCCCTAAGGGCCGAAAGAGCTCCCGAGTATGTGCTCCGGGGAAGGCACCCGAGAGGGAGGGCCCCGAGCCAGGCCACCAGGTGGGGACACCTGGGTGTTGGGAAAGAAGGCTTCTTGGGCGGTGAAGGAAGCCGAAGCGCAAAGCAAAGGCCGAGAATGGGGAGTGACAGTGGCCTGCAGCAGGTGCCAGCAGGGGGCTGCTGGCTGCAGGACCCGCTCCCAGGCTGCAGAGGGGCAGTTGCACAGGTGAGCGGGGGCCCCCTAGCGGCCCCTCCTGGCAGTTTGCTGCGGGGCCTCTCACCTGTTCAGCCTCAGGTTCCTCCCTTTCCTGCCTGCGGAGGGGCGGTGAGCGCGTGTCTGGGGCGGTCTTCACCCGTCCCCCCCTGCTCAGCACCCAGAAGAAGAGGCAGCCCTGTTGCGGCTGTAACAGGCCCACAGGCGTCTGGCCGGCTCTTTACAGGCTGCGCGCGTCTGACACACTTGGGGCGTCCTCCGGGAAGAGGCGAGGGCCCCCCCTCTGCTCATTGGCCCTGAGGTCTATTGTGAGAAAAAGCTCAGCGGACTCCACGGAGGGAGCAGGGTCCCACCCTCTGATTTCCTTTCGACAAAGCTGCTGTCCCAGGGCCCCAGGGAAGAGCCCAGGCATGCTCCGCTGGTCAGAGGAATCGGGACTTTTCAGCCAGCCCAAGACAGGTCATCCAAGGACCAGCCAGGACCTCCAGGCTGCATGGCATTAGGCCCGAGGCTGCCCTGGCACCCCTGCCCGCCCCCTGCACATCCACTCACCCTCCTTCCTCTGGCTCAACCATTCTGTGTTCCTACTTGTCCTGCCTACGGCCACCTAGGCATCACGGCCCACCAGCATTTTCCGTTTAAGTCCCAGAGAGAAGGTCTGTGATCCATCCTGCTGATCCTTTAGAGCCCGGACATGTCAGTCATAGATCATCAGCTGGCCAGAGACAGCTGCCCTTGGACAGGTGCCCGCCACAGTTCGGTGGAGGGCACAGCTGTGGGGGTCCTGATGCAGGCACCTCCTTTAGCAGGACATGGGTACAGGGCAGGCCGTGAGGCATGACATCGTCGGAGGGATGGAAGATAAGAGAGCCAATGAAAGAGACAAGAAGGAGTGGCCAGGGGTGTCCAAGGACAGCATTCAGGGTGCCTGCCCTTTGGCTGGCCGCGATCTACACTCAGCCCTGTGCTGGGCACGCTGCACCCTCCAAGCCACCTTTGCAAGTAGGAGTGATGGTTCTCCCCATTTTATGGATGAGAAACTGACTCAGAAAAGTAAGTTCCATAACTTGGGTAATAGTGCTATTAGTAAAACGATATAATTAATAGCTACCATTCTGTAAGCATTTTCCATGTGCTGGGCACCTTTCATTAACAATCTATCTATTTCGTGTAATCTTCACCCAAAACCGGTGGGTGCTATTAATATCCTCATTTTATAAATGAGGCAGCTGGAGCTCAGAGAGGTTAAGTAACTTGATCAAGGTCACACAGCAACTGATGGAGCCAGAGTTTGAACCCAGGTCTCTGCACAGCCAGAGCCCATTGCTCTTTCTCACTTGCCTCCCTCCTCTTGGTTGGCTGGAGCTGGGCCGGGGACATTCAGCGAGTGCTGTGGGGCCAGCGAGTGGCAGGGACTCAGTCATGGGCCAGATGTTAAATGTGTGTGTCTCGTGGGGACTGGGGACTAGCTGGTCGGGAGGCCGGGACCTCTGGCCGTTGTCCACTCACCCTCTGGCCTGCACTGGGAGGATGCTCGGCTCTCTCTGTAAAGCTGTCTCAACTTAACTCTGACAGTTGCATTTATCATTAAAAATAAATTTGTCTTGGCTCCCGTGGCACAGAAAGCTACAGTGCAGTGATTCAATGGGCCTGTCACCCCTCACTGTTAGGCACGGGGAGCTGAACAACTGGATGGTCTCCAACGCCGGCTCCTCATTTTCTGCGGCTGGAGCCAGAAATGTACAGTGGGCTGACATTTAATTTAGAATCCAACATACCTTGACATAAACCCATAATGCAAA